ATCCAAGTGTGTTTTAGTTCAGATATTGCATTTTTTTGGCTATGAAATTTACATTTGTTTCTTTTATATATCTTTAGTCTCTGCTGAGACTTAAAGTCCTTTTGTTTTTAAGTCCAGGAGGAATCATCCTAACTTCTTGAAGCATAGTTGTAAGAACTGTTTTAAGAGTCTGTCTGTTAAGTCTAGCATGCATCCCTCTGATCTTAGCACCTGCTCATCATCTAGTGTTGTTTCTGGTTCTTTGAGTGCTGAGAACTTTAGGATTGTTTCTTGAACACACTGAATGTTGCATTATGAGCTTATGAGTCCCACTAAAAATAGGACACAAAACTTGATCTTTGTTAAAGTGGGTGATCAGTTCAGTCAGACTCAGTTCTTGCATGTGGTGGTTTTAATGCTAGGTTTTCACGTTTTCCATTACAGTTTGGTCTTGCCTCTCATGCATGCAGCTCACAATGGACTGGTTTTGCATAGCATAAGGGTTATCTTCTTTGCATTTTTTCTCCTCTCAGATTAACAAGACTGTCTTGTTCCCAGAGGCCTCCTTTCCTATTCTACGGAAACTCATAATGTCCCATTCTCCCCTGACTTCCTACAGTACCACCATGTAATTCCAAAGATGACATCATCTCTGGGACAGCAAAAGAGAAAAAGCAGGGGGAAAAGTGACCAAGGAGTTCTTTTCTTGGTACCTTTTTCTAGAAACACACATCCATTTGTATAACTATCTGCCTTTATTTTCACAGTCCTTGCTGCAAGCAACAGGAAAATGTAAAGAATCCAGCTACTATCACAAAAGCTACTACTTGGAAAAGTCAAGGACTTTTCTGAAGGTCAAGCCATGGCTTAAGAAGTCTTGGTGATATTTTAGCTTTTGTATATATATTAGGTGGTTTCTACAATGATTTTCTTGTATGCTATGCGTGCTTCCAAGAACTCCTAACAAGTGTATTTATCTAAAATACCTATCAAGCATCCAAGGCCAAATGATCTCCTGAGCTAAGGATACAATGGATACAATGCCTGTTTCCTAGGTCAGGCAAATAGCTTTATTTCTTGTGCAATTTAAGCTTTCTTTCTTAAAGAAACCCTCCTTTCTTATACAGCCATACTAGCATTATAGAACCTTAACTCCTTACCTAATGGTTAATATACATTGTCCACAGGGTCTAGGATTGCCTAAGAGACAAGGGTCTGGGCATATCTGTGAAGACATTGCTAGATTGGGTTGGGGTAGGAAAACCCACCCCAAATGTAATGGCACCACCCTCTAGGCTAGAGTTGGACCGAATGAAAAGGAGAAAGCAAGCCAAGCACCAGAATTCACCTCAGTCTATTTCCTAACTGCAGATGCAACATGACCAGCTACCTCTAGCTCCTGGTACCAATCTTTACCTACCATGATGGATTTACTATACCCTCAAATTGTGAACCTAAATAATTCCTTCCTGCCATAAAGTTGCTTTTGTTAGGTATTGTATTACAGCAATAAGAGAAGTGATTTGTATGAAAACTAGTGTGGTGGTATTGTGTTCCCCAAAATATTGTGTACTCTAATAAATTTATCTGGGGTCAGAGAACAGACAGCCACTAGATACAAAGGCTAGAAAATGGTGGCACTCACACCTTTAATCCTAGCATTCCAGAGATAGAAATCCCTCTGGATCTCTGTGAGTTCAAGGCCACATTGGAAATAGCCAAGCATGGTGACACACGCCTTTAATCCCAGAAAGCCAGCCTTTAATCCCAGGGAGTGGTGGTAGAAAGCAGAAAGATATATAAGGCGTGAGGGCCAGAAACTAGAAGCATTTGGCTGGTTAAGCATTTGGCTGGTTAAGCATGTGGCTGGTTAAGCTTTCAGGCTATGGAGCAACACAGTTCAGCTGAGATTCATTCTAGATGAGGACACAGAAGCTTCCAGTCTGAGGAAATAAGACCAGCTGAGAAGTTGACCAGGTGAGGTTGGCTGTGGCTTGTTCTGTCTCTCTGATCTACCAGCATTGACTCCAATAACTGGCCTCAGGTTTGATTTTATTAATTAGAACTTTTAAGATTCCTGCTACAAACTAGTTCACTTTTCTTTATAAAAGAAATTTTCAGAGCTGGAGAGATGGCTCAGCGGTTAAGAGCACTGGCTGTTCTTCCAGAGGTCCTGAGTTCAATTCCCAGCAACCACATGGTGGCTCACAACCATTTGTAATAGATCTGGGGCCCTCTTCTGGCCTGCATGGATACATGCAGACATTACACTGTATATATAATAAATAAATCTTAAAAAAAAAAAGAGAACTTGCTATAAAAAAAAAAAAAGAAATTTCTAAACCCAATATCTCCTTCCCTGTGATTCTATGGGTCTGTTTCTGTTTGTCTCTGGGTTTCTGTTGGGATCCTCTCACCTTCTTAACCAGTGTGACTTGTTATCTTTCAATCTCTAATAGAAACCTCCATTCCAAGAGATACAGCATGACTCAGTATTGTTCAAATGACATTTGTCCTTTAATGGACTCAGTGTCAATAAATTCAATGTAGCCTTAATGAGATTTCTACGTTTTTTCCCCTGGTAGAAAACGGTGCACTAATTCCAAGATTCATGTGAAAATGCAGAGTCTAAAGTGGCCAAAATAACTGCAAATAAAGGACCATAGTTGAAGGAGTTGCGATGTCTAACTGTGAAGCTTACTGTAAAACTGGTACAGTAGCTTCTTTTTTTAGTGAAGAGTAAGACATTAGCATCTCTGGAGTTGGATGAGAACTAGGAAGAATATGTCACGTACAGGAACAATGTATATCCAGTAAACTATGGACCTCAGCTTTGTTTACTCATCTCTCCCTTGCTGTGAAGCTGTGACCATGGGAGGTCATATCCACATGGTTAGGCAGATGTACACAGACAGAGGCAGGTTCACAGCTCTGCCAAGGCCTGGGCTTCTGCCTTCACCTACAGGTGGGTGTTTCTGCCTGGTCACATTTGAAGAATATCTAGCATGTTTAGTTTCTTTGCCAGCAGGATGGTTGGTCAGGCTTAGAAATCACCACACTGCTAGAAATGCAAGCTCCATATTGAATATTAACATTCTTTTTCTCATGACAGGTGTGCACTACCACCACATGACTTGAGTATTAACATTTTTATGAATGATTCTGGAAGCTGTATTTTTTACCTGTAGTATGAATGATTCAAACCTAGTCACACTAATCCACATATTTCTAATTTATTGTTTTTAACTGCTTGTTAGCCTTCTATTGTGTCATATACCACATTTTTCTTTGGGTGTTTAAGTTATTTCCAAATCAAAGTTTTGTTTATAGGCAATGTTGCAAAAATTGGATATTTTTATGATATAAAATGTCAAGGAGAATATTACTGAGCAATAAATTAGGTACATTTTAAAATTTGAATAGACATTTCTTGTATTGCTCCCAAAGTGACTGTGCTTATTTATGTACCCCAGAATTTTTTTCTCCAATCTCAACTTCCTGTGATTTAAGATTTTGATACACCTGCCATGACTCCATTGAGCAAGACTTTTTTTTCTAGGCACCTGTAGAGACCAACATGCAGCCGATTGGTTGGCTGTTATTGGGCCACATTTTCCAGTTATGGGTGAGGGGAGGGCAGATGTGTGACGTGAAGGCTGCCATTCAGCAGCTACCACAGGATTCTCTGAATCAGGTTTTCTTAGCAGTGGCTTCACAAATGCATCATGACCCCCAAGCCTCTCCACACCTCACGTTTGAGTGTGTTCTCTAGGCCACTGCTACAACTATTTTAGGTTTTGGGGAAGTTCAAATGAGACACTAATATGACAATATCTTAGAGAGACAAAACTCACATGGTATTAATATTGTTATTTTAAGGCCTTTTGTTTGTTTGCGATGTGTCTCATGTAGTCCAGGCTAGTCTCAGACTCACTATGTTACTGGCGATGATCTTGAATTTGTGCTCATCCTGACTTCACATTCTAAGTGCTGGGATCACAGGCGTGTGCAACCATGCCTATTTGTTTAATTAATCTTGTGAAATCAATGTTTTCAGTTAGCATACAAAATAATGGGCTTCATCATAACATTTCCCACATTGTACTTTGCTCATAATTGCCCCCACACAACTCTCTTCCTTCTCTCCTCCCCTCCTTTCATTGATTCCATTCTTCTCCTAAAATGCTCCAGACTCCACTCGCACCCCAGGTCACTGGCAAGCTAGAGGACAGTGCTGCTCAGTTTCACTGGGTCAATCGGGATCTCTAACAGAATATATTTGATGAAGCTGAGTGATGTCTGTGACTCCATGTTTCAAACCTGCCCACAGCAATGCCCAGGGATCAGGGACTAGACAGCACTGAAGAGTTCCTGTGAAGGGTCCTGTTTCCCTACTCATGAGCTTTTGGGGGCCAGTCTTACCTCTAGCCCGGGTCCATGCTCTCTGTAGTTCAGAGTCAGGAAGACCTAGCGCTTGTGTCCGTTGGATTTCTGCCTTGCTGACGGCCCTCATGGTCCATGTTGCTCCACGCTTGTTCTTTGGGTCTGAGTGTTTGTTTGGTAGTCATCCAAAAACAAAAACAAAACCAAAACAGAGGGGCTGGAGAGATGGCTCAGAGGTTAAGAGCACTGGCTGCACGTCCAGAGGTCCTGAGTTCAATTCCCAGCAACCACATGGTGGCTCATAAACCATCTATCATGAGATATGGTGCCCTCTTATGGTGTGCAGGTAGAACACTGTGTACATGTGTACTTAATAAATAAATTAATAAAAAACAAAACAAAACAGAAAAAAGCAAAACAAAAACCCAAACAAACAAACAAAACCCAACCAAACAAAAACAAAAACAAAACATCACCACCACCACCAACAACAAACACCATGAAACAAACCACCTCCTCATTTGAGTCCTGCCCAGCTCTTGCCCTTCTGTCTTTTGATTTTTCTTACGATGTTATAACCAACACAGGGCTCTGGGTGGCTCTGGTTCTAGAATGATCTCTCCCGTTTCTTTTCCCAGCTTGGTGGCTGCTCCGTGTCTACTTGAGCCTTCTGGTCCTGGGCCACCTGAGAAGCAAATCCGAACCTGACATCTGTTCTGCTGGCAGACACTTCCCGGGCAACGGGAGATCCCAGCTAGAGTGATCTGGTGGTTTCTTGGGAGTCCAGGGTGAACAAGACCCCTCAGCTCCAGCTGCAGCTCCCAAGGGTTTGCTCCAGCTCCATCACCCAGACACCTGTGAGCAGAGTCTAGTTCAGGGCTCATCTAAGTCTTGGCATCCTGTCACTCTGACCTGAGCCGTGTCTCACCTCAGCCCCACAACTGCAGGACGAAGAGAGTGAGTCAAACTAGGACTCTGCAGGGTGAGGCCTGTGACTGTAGTGACTTTCTATGGCTCTGTCGTAACTACCCACTCTTGTTGACTGAACTTAGTTCACCTTCAGGCTTTTTTGGTTAGCTAGGACCACTGTAAAGCTACCAGAGATGGAGAGCTATACAACAGACCTTTGTTTTCTCAGTTGAGATGGAAACATCTCAAGATCTTGGTACTGTGGTGGTCGCCTGAACTTATAAATGGCCACCTTCTTACTGTGTTCTCACCTAGTGCCAGAAGGGGAGGAGGGGAGAAGGAAGAGAGAGGGGAGATGGAGAAGAGGAGGAGAGGAGAAAGAAGGGAGGAGAGGTGAGCAGAGAGGCAAAAAGGTGAAGGGAGATGGGGAGAGGAGAGGGAATGAGAGTCCCCTGTCTCCTCCCATAAGAACACTGGCCTTACTAGACCAAAGCTCATCTTCATGACCTTATTTAGCCAAGGTGGGGCATGCTGGGATTAGTGTTTCAACATGTGAACTTGAGGCGTGAATGAATAGCAGGGCTTTGGCACCTACCTATGTGTCCTCACACCTCTGCTAAACTGCCAGAGTACTCTCTTAGAGGCTGTCCCCAGCTACCTACTCTGTAGTGGCTAGACATTCTCCTCTCTCAGTCCCCATGTTTATAAGCTATCTCCACAGTGCTCAGTGCTGGGACTTGGAAAACGTTGCTTGAGTTAGAAAGTCCTCTATCTACATCTATCCTCCAACAGGGAGAAGCAGGCACGTGCTGCCATTCTGACACCAGAGTGTAGGACAGTTCTTGGCACATGGCAATCCTTACTCAATGGTGCGTGGATAGAAGACCCAGCCATTGCCACCAAAGAGGCAGTGGGCTCTGGAGGGGCTGAGGGAGGTTGATGGTTGGATGGGAGGGGCACACACCAGGGCAGAGAAGGTTTAATGTTTAATGTTCTGGAAGCTGACTGTGAGGGGAGGGCTGGGGCACTTCACAGGAGAGGGGTTCCCTGGGTTTCACCTCAGAATGACAGAGAAGAGACGAGAAGACAGCTGGTTGTGTTATATCTCGGCTGCACTCTGAGAACAGCTTTAATTGCATTGTCTGTCACTATGCATTGTAAGAGTTTCTCATATTTAAATTGTTTTAGAATTGACAAGTAAAAATTGTGTTTATGGCACACAGTGTGATTATATAAATGTGTATATATATACATACATAGTTTATCTTCTTAATAAATCATTTTCTGATATGAATTTATAGTTCCATATTTGGTTTTGTCATATGAACATTTCAAACATTTTCTCCCAGCCTACTGCTTGCTTTTTCCTATTTTTAGTAATGACTTTTAAAAAGCAGTTCAAATTTTGGATGATGGTCAAATTTATCAGTTTTTTTCTTCTGTGGTTCATGTTCTTTGTGTCCTAAGAAGTCCCTACCTATCCCCAATTCCAAAGCTCCTACCTACCCCTTTCAAAACTTTATAGTCGTTGTGTGTTATGTCTGTGATCAATTTTAGGCCAGGTGTAATGGTGTATGTCTCCAGTTCTAGCACTTGGAAGGCAGAGGCAGGTGGGTCTTTGTGAGTTTGAGGACAACCTGGTCTACATAGTAAGTTCCAGGCCAGCCCGGGCTACACAGCGAGACTATGCGCTTCAACAACAAAACAACAACAACAACAAAAAGGATAAAAAAGAAAACATTAAATAAAATTTAGAAATTTAGATTGGTGTCAGTGTGTTGCTTGAGGGGTGGGTTCTGGTTCGTCATTTCCCCCTCACAGTGGGGTCTAATTTTCACATTGTCTTTCTGTTTATGAAATGACTGTCTTTTTCTCTAATTATGTTGCCATCTTTGCAAAAACTTAGTTGGCCTCATGTGTCTGTCTGTCTCTGTAGCTGCTGTTATGATTCATCAATCTTCATATCTAACTTCACACTGACAATACTGCCTTGAAAACTGGGGCATTATGGGAAGTATTGAAATCAGTTAGCATGAATTCCCTAAATATAACCCCCCGCTACACACACACATACACAATTTGGAGACCACTTTAGGTCTTTGGACTTTACATATGAATTTTGAATCAGTCAGTTTATCAACATGTTAACTTTCTGTTAGTGCAACAAATACCAGAGATAAATCCATTTGTAAAGAGAATTTATTTTGGCTGTGCTTTGGAGGTTTCAGTCTGTGGTCAACTGGCCCATTGTCTCAGGCCAGTGGCAAGCCAGCACATCACAGCAGGAGCCAAGGTACTCAGCTGGTAGCTAGAAATCCACAGAGGGAACCTGGACCAGTATCTCATTATCCCCTTCAAGTTCACACCCCCAGTGACCTAATTCTTCCAACTAGGCCCCGCCTCTTAAAATGTCCCTTCACTCCCTGGCAATGGTCACCCTGGGCTCCATGCATGCCTGAGCCTTTTTGATGGCATTTCAGACCTAAACTGTAGCAGCCAGCCTCCACAGCAAAGCCTGGCAGGATTTTGACTGGGATTGCATTGATTCTATGGATTAGTTTAGGAAGACCTGCTATTTTACCAACACTGAATATGGGTTAACTTCATCTATTTAGGTCTTATTTATTTCAGTTGCATTTTATAGTTTTTCAACATCTTATACAACTTTGCTAGGCTTGGGTACTGCTATCAATGATACTATTTAAAATAGTTTCATTAAAATAAAAATTGGAAAAATTTCATTTTCCAATTATTTGCTGCTGGCACAGCGAAGTACAATTGACTTTTACACTGTAACTTTGTTTTATGACTCTGCTAAATCTGTAGTAGTTCTTCTGGTCCCTGACATGAACGATTTCTACATTTTTCATGGCCATTTTGTACACAGATGTTGTATCCGTTCTTGCATTTATCCCTAGCTGGAAGTAGGAGCTCTGGTTTTATTTGTTTTTCTTCCTCTGTTGTGACGTTTACGGATGGTTTAGATTACAGAAGCAGACGAGAGTCCCATCAACAGGCAGAGTCATTTGTACCTGTGGCAAACAACAAACCCTTGTGATTTGTCTTAATGGAAATGGCTGTTGGGGTTTAAAGATGATCGGCTCCTTCACGCGACTTAATGGATCTTGAAGTAGGTTATTGACACAGTTAGGACCTGACAGTGCTGATGGGCTGGATTTGAACTTTAGCTCCTGGGGTTGGTGGGTCCTGAGGGGGTCATCTTTGTAATTTAGTAGCCCACCCATCTTCCTCTGAGGTTGGAGGGGCTGAGTGGAGAAGGACACATGGAAGTTATTTCTGTAGCATTTTTTCTTAATTAGGAGAAAAGAGATGGAACCTTGAATGTGAGTCTACAACACATTCCTCATTCTCCCCAGTGCTCAGGATAATGGTGTTTAACAGAAAGACAAATCCATCCGTCTTCCTGGCGTCTTAGCCCAGGGAGGCCTCATAGGCTGCTGTCAGTAGCAATATTAGGGACTATAAAAAGCCGTTCAAACCCCTCCCCTTTTAACTCTCCGTCTGTGATCTGCTTCCCAGGGACACCAGGGCTGAGGTTGCTCATTCTCCATCACCTGGACGTTTTTTGGCCTCATGGGTATTTATAGGGGTTCAGATTAGCTTAACTGTCTGTTCTGACTCCATCATTTCTTGCTAGAGCAGGCAGCACCATGCAAGGATTTGTCTCCCTGCTTTAGTCTGCTGATGCTTAGATTGGCTGGTTGCTATGCCTCTGGTACAGGGGTTCATGACAATTCCTCAGGACGGTAGTAGGCTGCTGACAGTGTCTGATGCTTGGGAGCCTGGCTTAGGGCTGGGCATGCATGTCTTTCTTCCATTTCTTGTTTTACGTTTGGCATATACACTTTCTCTCCTCTCCTTTCTCAGGAGCATCATTGCCAGGGATATGCTGGCCAGCATCCTTCCCTTTTGATAATCACATCAACCCAGGGGAGAAGTCCATTTCCTAAGGATTTTCTTCCTCCACTCTCTCAGGTTGCTATGGCTCCAGGCCTCTGGTCACATCATTTCTCCTCCATTTCCACAGCAGGTTCTGAAAATTCAGTTCCACACAAGTCATGTGGCACTGACTACGTGCCCAGCACATGGAAGGGAAGAGAAGGATGGAGGAAAATGAGATTATGTGGAGAAGGTTCTCTGGAGAAGACACAGGGATACAAGTATCTGTCACCCAGGCTAGGACTGGTGAACTATAACAGTTGTAAAATTCAATGGGGTTCTGTTTGGTGGTGTTTTCGAATGGTCTCAAACTCATCATTCTCCTGCCTCAATCTCCTAAGAGCTGGTATGATCATGTACCACCCTGGCTGGCCTAGGCCACCCTGGAAGGCCTTTTGATGATGAAGTCTGACAAGGATGAGCTTCCCACATGAGTTGGACCCTAAGTAACAGGTGCAGTTCCCAGAGAGGAGTCAAGGGCAACAGGGCAGGGGAGGGTATTGAAGCTGGAAAAAGCATTACCAAAGGGCCAGCAGTGGGAGCGCACCAGTCAACGGTATGTCTCCGAGGGTGTGTTGTATGTGGTTCAGGAGACATAGGAGGTCAAGGCCAAGTGCAGACCAGTCAGGTCACTGTGGAGGGCTTGGCTGCCACACTAGGGAGGTGACACTGTGGGGAGCCAGCAAAGGTTGTGAACACAGTCTGGACTGGTGAAAGCTGGGGCTTTAGAAGCTCCCTCTCTCTGGGGATGTAGAGATGACAGCACTAGACTCAAGAGCATCCTCTCCCAGGGGCTCCTGGTACATACTCCAAACTCACGGAGGGGATGTCTGCTTGTGTGTCTAATTTCTATTTGATATAGATATCTAAAATAGGTTTGCAAATCAAACATTTACTGATAATAATTAATAAAGAAAATT